ATTGCAACAGCGTTGAAAAAAGTTACTTATGGCCATTTTTCACATTCACGACTTGCAGTTAGTTTCCCCATGGTGACGTGATCAAAATTCAGATGCTTGGCAAGTGACTCATATTTATGACGGTTGCAGCGTCCCGGGGTCATAGGGCCACCTTTTGTGGCCTTCTGACAAGCAAAATCAATGTGAAAGTCAGATTCACTTAACAACCATGTTACTAAGTTAAGTGAAGCGGTGATTCACTTAAGAACCGTGGCAGGAAAGGTCGTAAAATAGGGCAAAATTCACTTAACAAATGTCTCGCTTGGCAACAGAACTTTTGGGCTCAATTGTGGTCGTAAGTCGAGGACTACCTGTAAGAATTTCTGTCGAAGGGATTAAAATAAGAAAGAGCGTTTGCCGTAAAATAATCAACAGCAGAGTTTGATCTAAGCTACTACGAGCCAAGGCCAGTGTGTTATCAGCTATCTCTCTTGTATGATCTATTACCTTGGCTGTACACAAAAACTCTCTTAACTCCCCCTTTTCTAATTTACCTGAATAGAACACCTGGATTTGCATAAGAGGAGAAAAAAAATGACTGAGAAAATAAATTTCCATTTCCAGTTGTTATTACAGGTAGTCCTTGACCTCTGACCATTCATTCCATGACCATTCAAGTTACAACAGTGCTGAGAAATATGGACTTGTGACTATGCCTCAAGTTATGGCTATTGCAATGCTCCCACCTGATCAAAGTTTGGGTGCCTGGCAGCCTGCCCGCCCTTATAACTGCAGGGTGCCTCAATTTCCTCACCTACCATCTATCTCCCCTTATCTATGCCCTTTTGGCCACCTTACATCTTTCCTTATGGGGTAGCAAGTAGCTCTAGAACTACCCATTCTGGGGTTGCTTGCTAGGCGCCGTAAGCTTCAGCTGCCCCAGCAAGCGTTCATTCACCCAGCTGCCTTCACTTCCATTCCCCGCACTGAACTTTTTTTTTTTTAACCTGGGCTGTCTTTTCGAAAGTTGCATTGCCTTCGGAATGCTTTACAAAGATGCTGCACCTTTACAAAAGCTCTGTGAGCCACACATAGGAAATGTCTTCTGGAGAAGCTGAGCTCAAGAAACAGTGAGGAATTTCTGCTTTGACTGGGGTGACTGGGCGCTAAAGGCAAAAAGTTGGCGCAGGGAACTGGAAAACAGCTGGGTGATTATGAATGCTTGCTTGGGTGGCTGAGGCTTCCCAGGGCATTGCAAGTAGTCCTAGAGGCATATGGTTCTGGGGTGTTTGCCATCCCACATGGTAGGGTGCAGGGCTGCCAGAGATCGAGGGAGTTAGGTGGGTGGTAGAGTTGGAGGCAGATCCTTTCTGAGGATCTGGGCTGGGTACTGCTTAACAACTTGTGATTATTAATGACCACAATGGGGATTGCCAGTGTTAAATTAATGTGGTCACATGACATTTCGCTTTATGACTTACCACAGCAAACCTTGTCCCATTTGTGGCCATTAGAAGAAGACTAACTGTACTTTTGTATGTGTTTACTTTTACATTAGTTCTATCCCATTTTCACGTCATTTTTTTTTTAAAAAAACAGAGAAATATTAGTGCATACCCTTCTAGGTATTATTTTTTTTACAAGAATCATTGCTTGATCAGGAAACGTGTTCTTCTACACCAGGGGTGTTTCACCTTCCCTGGGCCACATTAGAAGATGAAAATTTGGTTTGGGCCGCACATATAATAAATTATTATAAAATAATTATATTATAAAATTATATAATAAATTATAAATTATTTTTATTATTTATTATTAATTA